AAAGAGTAACATTGGTTTGATGTGAATTCATCCTTTTGTTCTATTACCCCGTGAACATTTTGATCAGTAGAATACCATTTAGTTCCATTCTGAACAGGAATACTTTGTCACAAGAAGTGATAATAGTTGTTAAACTTCTTTTTCTGTTATGATTTGAGAATAATTCGTAGTGTTTATTGTTGCTGTCCATTGTGATATAATCTGCTAATAATTGTCTTTAATTTACTTCTGATTTTGACTGCTGATACTTTAATTTTTTTTCATAGGCACCCCTCTTTGGCGCAATGGTCCCCCCGAGAAACCAGTACTATGCAATGCGTGTGGTTCTCGGTGGAGAACAAAGGGAACGTTGGCAAACTATTTTCCTCTACATGCTCGGGCAGAACCTAATGACTTTGAGGACTATAAGGTTTTGAAGGTGAATAACATATCTAAGAATGACAAAGCAAGCATTCTCAAAAGAAAGCAAGCTAGTCTTATTTCTGAATATGGTGGGGTGACTCCTGATTGCAACCCGGGATTCTGCAAAGGGTTCAATGAAGATTCAAGCAATAGATCAAGTTCCGGCTCTGCTGTATCAAACTCCGAGAGCTGTGCTCAATATGGCACAGCTGATGCAGGTGATTTGACGGGTTTTGTTGGTCCTTCATGCATGTGTAAATATATGTATGCATACATTCAAAATCCTTGAGGAAATGCCATCTCCGTGGCTTATGCAAACTCCAAATCATTGTTTCTTTCTCATTGTCTTTCTGGAAATGGGACAAGCACCTTCGGCTAAGCTTAAAAGTTACTTTTCTAGAGAGTATGACTTTCTAGAAAATTAAGTTTTGTTAGTAAAAGTAAATAAGTTCTACAGTTATGTTTGACCAAAAGAAGCTTAAATAGAACTTTAACTTCTTTTTCAGTTTAGCCAAACAGGCCAAATTAGGTCTTTTGAATAGAACAAACACTACGTTTAATAACGAGAGGCACGTCTCAAATAGATGTTGAAAGTTGAAACAGAATTAACTGAAGAGCAAAGCACCTAATCAAATAATTTAGTCTGCATGCTCTTCTGTTTGAAATATATGAGCAGGAAGATACTTCTGCCTTTTTGGTTGTTGCACATGCAAAGCTGTTATTAAATTCTTGTATTATGTTGTAGTTTCATATTTAGGCTCAACGTGAAGGTTATCAATTTCTCATCTGAACAGGTCCATCACAGCCTGTAGTGTGGGACACCATAGTACCTTCAAGAAAGAGAACCTGTGTCAGTCGTTCAAAGCCATCTCCTGTTGAGAAGCTTACAAAAGATCTATATACCATATGGCATGAACAACAGTCATCATGTTTCTCTGGGTCTTCGGAAGAGGATTTGCTTCTTGAAAGTGACATACCTATGGTGTCTGTCGAGATTGGACATGGAAGCGTCCTTATTCAGCATCCAAGCTCAATCACTGGACAAGAAGAATCTGAAGCTAGCTCCCTTTCAATTAATAACAAGATACAGACCATGAACGAGGCTTATTCATGGTTGACGACGCCTCTTCTACGTAGTGATGACAAGCTTGTTAATTTTTCAAGTCAGGAAATTGAGAAAGTCAAGAAGCTTCCTGGA